TATAACTAAAAGTTTTTTTTAATGTTTGGTTATTTATTTTTTAAAAATATTATAGTTAAAACATGATAAATTTTATTAATTATTAATTAAAATTTTAAAAATATAGTAAGATATATAATTATTAAAATATATAATATTTATTATTTTTTAATAATTTGGATTTTTTAAATTTGTTATCATTATTAAAATATTATAAATTATGATATAATAAATTATTCAAAATTAAGTTTTAATAGATAATTTTGTAATTATATTAAATATTAAGTGTTTTCTGTAAAAATCACAATTAAAATACTTCAAAATGAGACTTCTAGTTTTATATATAAAATTATTGTAATTTTTTGTAGTTTTTTTAAAAACTAATCTGTGTCTCCCCCCTAGGGTTTCTCTCGTGTTCTGCTCAGGGTTGAGAGCAGAGGCAATGGGTTTTCCTCCTTAGGGTTTCTCTCCGGTATAGGAGTTCCTTCTTCCCTTCTTCCTTTCTTCTTATCCTTACCTTCCTCTTCGATCTCTCATTCACCTTCATCGTTTGTCTTGCTTTGGAAACTTCAACCCAAGGGACCACAAGGCAGTGACATATTTAGATTTACATCTCTAATTAATTTTTGAAGGTTGCAACTGGAATTTGGCGCATCTTCTTGGATAGGATCTTGGTGAGGGTCGAATTCGGCAATGCTAGTTGATTCCAATTTCAGATCAAGTAGTCGAATACGGAAGGAAAGGGATGTCGTGGGTGTCGGCGATTATGGTCTGCGCGGGAAGCATGATATTTTAGCTAGCAAAGGGGCTCTAGTTCCCTTAATAGGGTGGCAACTTGCAGGTTGGGGACTGTTTGTTGTCGGAATCCCTTGCTCTTCCCATGAAGCTGGTTAAATAGGTGAGGAAGTCTAGTAGCTTTTGATGCTCAGACGAGCTCTCCTTTCTACATTCGTAGCCCAATTTAGCTCATATAGCGATTGCAATTGCAATTTCTAGTTGCAGATGGCTCTTTTTAGTTAATTGTCTATATTTGTCATGGGTATAGTTTAAATCTGTTATTAGTGCTGTAGGTTATACTTCTTATTTGTCTTTTGGCTATAATGCTTTACGCTACATGCCTTGTTATGGAGTTTTTTCTGTACTTTCTTATTATTTAATATAATTTCTCCATTTCCTATCCAAAAAAAAAAACACTAATCTAAAAAAATATTATCAAACACACATATATCTAAAAGCGATATGCAATCACACAAAAAAACTTTAACCACAATTTCATATGCACCCTAAATTACTTTTATAAATTATAATGACTGAAGCAAAGGTAAAACTTTTAAATTTGGTAAATTTTATATAAATTCTTGATTTAACACCTTCAGAATTTGAAGTTTGTTGGATATGGTCTGATCAGTTGATATGCAATTTTTTTTTTTTTTGTTTAATTGCGGACGACAGTTATTTAACAAATGGGTATTTGGATACTGTGATTGATTGGATACCGGGCATGAAAGGCATAAAGTTGAAGGATTTGCCTTCATTTTTGAGGACAACTGACCCAAATTTCTTCATGTTAGATTTTATTTTGGGCGAGACAGAGGCCTCAGCAATAGTTTTGAATACATTTGATGCCTTAGAAAATGGGATCTTAAGAGCTCTGTCTTCAATGTTGCCCCCTGTTTTATCCGTTGGTCCACTGCCACTTCTTTTGAATCAGGTCCATGACAACGACCTGGGGCAAATTGGATCAAATTTATGGAGCGAAGAGCCAGAGTGTCTGCGATGGTTAGACTCGAAAGAACCCAACTCTGTAGTCTATGTGAATTTTGGGAGCATTACAGTTATGACACCCAATCAACTGATTGAATTTGCATGGGGGATTGCAAATAGCAATAAGACATTTTTGTGGATCATCAGGCCTGATTTAGTAGCCGGTGACGCCGCAATTTTACCGTCGGAGTTTGTGACAAAGACCAAAATAGGGGCTTGTTGGCAACTTGGTGCACACAGGAGCAAGTTCTGAGCCACCCTGCTATCGGAGGATTCTTGACGCATGGTGGGTGGAATTCGACCCTGGAAAGTATATCTGCCGGGGTTCCGATGATTTGCTGACCATTTTTCGCCGAGCAACAGACCAATTGTCGGTTCTGTTGTACAGAGTGGGGGATTGGTATGGAGATAAATAGTGATGTTAAGAGAGACGAAGTGGAGAGACTTGTGAGAGAACTGATGGAGGAGGAGAAATGCAGAGAGATGAAGAAGAAAGCTCTGGAATGGAAGAGGATGGCGGAAGCCGCCGCCGCGAGCCCTTCAGGGCCATCGGCGATGAATCTTGACAAAGTTATCAACGAAGTGCTCTTGTATCCATCAGATTAGGAGTCTGCATAACTTGTTAGTCATAAATG